CAGGTTGCAGAGGGTTTGAAGGAGGTGTCGGTGCAGGAGGCGATGCTGAGAGTGTGTTGGGGACAAGACGGAGTCCCCACAGGGAGCCCTGCAAAGGGCTGGAGGGGGAGGGCATCAGTTATGTGGCAGAGTCTGGGAAGAGCAGTGGGTGACCAGGAGGGTCCCCAAAGCACTTGTCCCCACCCAGGGATGAGCAGGATGAGCTGGGAAGCCAGGAGATGCTACGGCAGTGACCGCAGCCACCCACCCATGGGACACAACCTCGGTGCCAGTAAGACCAGCACCAAGAAAGAAGGATGTGTTTGGGCTGCTGGGATTCCAGCATGTTCCCCCTTCAGGGAGCCCCAGTCACCCCATCCCTGTCCCCAGGACACGCTGTCAGAGCCAGCCCATCCCTGTCCCCTGGGGTCCCCCCCCTCCCGCAGCCTGCCCTTCCCCGGACACAACCCCCCCCTTGCTCCACCAGCCACCACAACCTGCCTTCACCACACACTTGTATACCCAGCTCAGAAATAAACTGCCGTTATCCCACCCAGCCTGGCCTGCCTGGCTCCGATCCATCCCCGAGGTGGCCTGGACACACATGGCACATGGCCACCTCCTATTGCTGCTGCATGGCCACCATCCCGGTCCCCATGGGTCAGCCCCGCTCCGTGCCAGGGTAATGGCATCCTGGTCTCCAAGGGTTAGTCCTGCTCTGTGGGGAGGGTGGCAGCATCACGGTCCCCAAGGGTCAACCCTGCTGCCTGCCAGGGTGACAGTGTCATGGTCCCCAAGGGTCAGCGATGCTGTGCGCTGAGGTGACAGCATCCCGGTCCCCAAGGGTCAGCCCTGCTGTGAGCCGGGGTGACAGCGTCACGGTCCCCAAGGGTCAGCACTGCTGTGTGCCGAGGTGACAGCATCCCGGTCCCCAAGGGTCAGCCCTGCTGTGCGTTGAGGTGACAACCCCAAGGGTCAGCGCTGCTGTGCGCCGGGGTGACAGCATCCCGGTCCCCAAGGGTCAGCGCTGCTGTGCGCCGGGGTGACAGTGTCCCGGTCCCCAAGGGTCAGCGCTGCTGTGCGCCGGGGTGACAGCGTCCCGGTCCCCAAGGGTCAGCGCTGCTCCGCCCCCTTTCTCAGCCAGAAATAACTGCTGTCCCACAGCCGGACCTTGGCATCTGGGCTGGAGCCCAGCACGGGTCGGGGCGAGCAGCAGGGAGCCCGGGGGTGCTGTGGAGGGCCAGCCAGGACCACCGAGCACTGGTGGCCACAGCTTGGCTCCAGTCTCATCCCCAGTGCAGCCGGAGAGCATCTTCAACCCTTGGCGTCTGGGGCATCCCCTGGCCAGGTAGAGGAGGTGAGGTGCAAGGCTGGGATCAGCGGCTGGGTGGGTGTATGGGGCTTGGGGACGTCCCAGTCTTGGTGATGGGGACATCTCCACCGTGGGGGTCAGGTGTGGTCTCCCCGGAGCAGTTTGAGGGAAGGAGGGGGCGCAGGTCCCAGGCTTGGTTAATGTTGACCTCAGCTGGCAGGGAGCTGCGTGCCAGGCACCCGTGCCCCCATGGGGACCCCCTGCTCTCGGGGGCTCTTAGGGGAAGCTGCACAGCACCAGCCCAAGCCGAGGGATGCCCGATGCACCAAAAAGGGCTGAGCCACCACCTCGCTCCTCACCCTCGCTGAGCCGAACGCTTCAGCAGCACAGGAAGGTGCTGGTTCGGGTGGGCAGCCGGGGAGGGGGCTCAGACCAGGGCTGGGCCCCACCCGCCTCCCCGCCAAGGAGCCCCCCAGTCCCACAGCCCCGCGCCCCGTCTCGCCAGCTCCCCGGCAGGGTCAGGGTTGTGACTCCTGCACCCTTGGGGCCAGCGGCTGAAAATAGTTCTGCCAAGGCGGAGGTGTCGGTGGGGTGGCAGCCAGAGCCCCTGCTCGCCCAGTGGGCTGTGGGCAGCTGGTGCTGCTCTGAGGGGGCTCGGAACACCAGGAGTCCGGCTCGCTGTGGGCAAGGACAGAGCTTTTTGCCCTAAAGAAAGGCAGAGAGGAAAAATGACAAGCAGGGGGTGAGGAGTGGCAAGCTTTGGGCATTTCCTTACATCTGTTGACGGCAATGGAGTGTAGCGTGGGGATGATGCTGGGCAGGGGGGATGCTCAGGGATGATGCTGGTGAGGGGAGTTGTTCAGGGATGATGCTGGCCAGGGGAGATGCTCGGGGATGATGTTATCCAGAGGAGGTGTTCAGGGATGATGCTGGCCAGGGGAGATGCTCGGGGATGATGTTATCCAGAGGAGGTGTTCAGGGATGATGCTGTCTGGGGGAGATGCTCAGCCAAAGCCTGGCCTCTCCCCATGGCATGCCTGGGGCTGAGGCGTCCCCATGCTTGGTGTCACCCCGGGGCTGCCTCTCTCTTCCAGCCAGGCAGGATCCATCCCCCTCCCACAGACCTGCCCCAGGAGCACGGAACCAAGTGATGACCATCATGAGACCGGCCCCTGAAGATGGTAAGGGGGTCTGGGGGGTGGCACTGGTCTCAGGGCAGTGCTGTCCGCCCTGCCTAGGGGCCAGACCCAGCTCTGGGTGAGACCACTGGTCCTGTTCCCCAGGGACTCTGTGCCTGCTTTTCTGGTGCCCTCTTGCACTACAGCCCCAAGGGGCAGCAATTGCATGTCAAAGGCTGGAGGGGTCCATGCGCCGAGGCAGGAGAGGCTGTTTCAGCCTCTGGAGCTGAGATAACTCCCCGACAATTCCCCCCACCGAGGAAACACTGGCCCCTGGCACAGCTCCGGGCACGGATGCATGGCTGAGTCGTGTGACAGGGACCCCAGCGTGGGGACATGCTGTCCTTGCACCGGGCACGGGGGTCCTCAGTGCTGCAGTGGCCTCAGCTGTGGTTCTGCTCTCCCCCAGCCTCCCCAGCGCCCCAGCTGGACCTGGGCAAGAAGATGAGCACGCCTCAGGATCTGATGATCGAGGAGCTCTCCCTGCGGAACAACCGCGGCTCCCAGCTCTTCCAGCAGCGCCAGAAGCGGATGCAGCGCTTCGTCTTTGAGCATCCCAGCGGCTACAGGGAGGTGGGTCTGCGGCTCGTCCCCCAGCTCCGAGCGGGACAGCCCTTCCCCAGCTCTTGTAGCCTTGCAGGGAAGCAATTCTTGGTGGGGTTGGGGGTCTCCCAGCCCGGCAGCCACGCTCAGCTGCCTGCTACGCCGCCGAGATGAAGGGAGAGGAGAGATGGCTTGGTGGGCTGGGCATGGGGATGGGCAAGCATCAGGTTCAGCCTCCACCTACAAACAAAGGTGCTGGTCCCACTAACCCCTCTCCTCGCCTCCCCCAGCTCCCAGGGCCGGGTGGCTCACACCGCACCGAGAGAGGTGTCCTGGAGGGAACGGCAAACGAGTGGACGGTGAGTAGGTGGAGGAAGCTCCAAGGTGCTTTCAATGGCCTCCCAAGTCCCCACCAGGGCAGGGGGAGCTCCCCACATCCACTGACTGTCCCCTCCACAGGCAGGGGTGGACGCCGGGGGCCAGCAGAGTTATCACTCCGAGCTCCACGTGGCAGCATCACCCCAGGGCGGCCCCCCCGAAGTGCCCAAGAAGACAGAGAAAGTCTTGCAGATGAGCAAAGTCCTCAACCCCGACGCTCTGGCCCCAGGTAAATGCCATCTACAGCCCAAAGCCGACACCGTTGTAGTCTCAGCAATGTGGGGCTCTTGGAGCCTGCTGAGGGGTCCTCCCCAAAACCCTCCCCCGGAGATTTTGATATATAAGTATATAACATATATTTACGTTATATATATGTAATCCTGCCCCCAGAAGCAGGTCCTCCGTGGCCATGCAAGGGCAGGGCTGCTCCCAGCCTCCCCTCCCCTGCTCGGGACATTGCCCCAGCCCAGTGGTGGCCACAGAAGCCCATGCCATCTCTCCCCCACACAGGATACTCAGGGCCCCTCAAAGAAGTCCCCCCAGAGAAGTTCAACGTCACCGCCATCCCCAAGGGCTACCGCTCCCCATGGCAGGAGCTCCTTGGCGACAAGGACAATGCTGTGCATGGCAAGAACCAGCCGCCTGTGAGACCCTCTCCATGGGACTTCAGGAGCTTCAACAGGTAACGCTGGCCGAAGAGCAGGCGCCACCAGCCTGTCCCTCCCTTGGCCAAGCCCTTCAGCCTCAAGAAGCACCTACCATCCTGCCAGGGAAACGCAATGGTCCATGCCCTCTTTATACACCACAGGGGAGCCGCAAGGATTCAGGTTGCCCTTTTCCTGATCAGGAGCTCCTCTGTGACTCCTATGCAAAGGTCCCTGCCTCCAGCAGCTCCTCAGATCTCCTCTCAGCTCCACCAGTAGCTTACACAGCCTTAAGCAACTCGATCTCACTGGGTAACCTCAGGGATGAAATGTGGGAGGACTAATTCTCATGCACATTGTCCTGGAGAAGGAATTGCTGCTGCTCCCAGCTGGGCTCTGCTCTGGGTTGGGTGGAGGAACGGCACAGGCAGTGCCAAGTCTCTCTCCTAATTTCTTTAAGGTATCCAAGCAGCTGCTGGAAGCGGTGGGGGTGTAAGGTTAATCTTCCCACAAAGTGCTAAGAGGTCACCAGATTCCTTCCAAACACCTGCTTGAGATTGAAGTCCCAAGGCTGGGGAGTTTCTGGTGGCTCAGTCTGGCAAGCTCCATGCCCCGCGGCTGCTTCCAACGGAGCATGGCTGCTCTGCATCCTCGCACCTCCAAATTACACTGAGGTCAAGGTTGGCACCCTGGGCAACCTGGTGAAGATCCAGGAGATGGAGATCTGGTGGTAGCAAAACAGCAACAGGCCAAGGTAGAATAATGAGAACTGAAATTTTAAGCTGAACATCACCCCAGGGAATCTGCGAACAGAGGTCCTGGTTCTCCTCCTCACTGAAAGTATCTTTCATGAGGATCAACGTACGTTAGCCTTGGTGGCCTGGCCAAAGTCACCTTCCAGTAGGCAAGGTCCCACTGGAGCTCCCTACTGGTACACAGCATTGCAGCCCATCAGACCATCTGCCACGGTGCTGGGCCTCGGCAGACGGCAGCTTTCCAGAGCCCACACCAGGGGTGGATTTGAGTCACGGGGGACACTGCTGCTCTGCGACCGCTTGGCAGAAGGGGTTGTGGGGAGCTACAACCCCTCTGCGTGGGAACCGTGTCCCAAAGGGCAGAGATCAGCCCGGCCACTGGTGGAGCTGGGATGATGCTGCCACCATACCTTTGCTGCTCTCCTCTCCCTCAGCCCTGGGGCTTTGCCGTGGGGCCTGAGGAGACACACAGCACGAGGCTGCTGCACGCTCAGCCCCCTCCGTTTTCCTCTTCCACACCAGTGAAAGCATGGCAGCGCACTGGTTTGCACTGGAGTGGGGCTGAGGGAGAGAGGGAAGAGGTGACGGGGGTAACAGAAGGGACAGGAACCCATGGGCAGCCACGGGCAAGCAAAGGGGCTTCGTTAGCCGTTCCCTCGGGGTCTTCTTCCCAGCCACTCCGCCATCCTGAGCTTCCCTGGAGCAGTAACACGCGAGGAGGTTCCGTAGGGGGAGAACAGGGAGCTGCTGCAGTCGCTTGGCTCTTTTCTTTCAACATTTAGCCATGTTCCGGCATTTATTTATGGACAGGGACTGAAGCAAGGGCATGTTTCTGAATAATGCTTTAGCCCGTACCATTTCCCCCCTCTCACATGCTGCCTTTCTATTTAAAGTCTTGAACTGTTATTTAATACAGATGGATGCTAATTTAACACCAAGCCTCTCGCCACCTCCTCTAATTCTTCACCGAGGCATGAAGATTCAGAGAGCCAATCTGCTTTTAACTGGGCTTTTCATGATCTTCCAAGCTGTTGGCTTTTAAATCACTTCTCAGTTCATCAAATACCAAACTGCGGAAAAACAAGCTTTTTTGGAACAAATAAGCTAGGGAGAAGCCAGCGGTCCTGCCTAAAGCAAGGTGAATCCCAGCACAGCTTGCATGGGTCACAGGGCAAGGGGGAGTTCACCATCTCAACAGCAACTGTGCTAAAGCAGATTGATTTATTCCCGACTTTAAAAGTTCGGGCTGGGACGCAAAGACCTTCGGCCACCTTGCTGAGGTGTGCTGCCTTAAGAGAGAGTGAAAAACCAGGCTTTGAAAAGGATGATCTTTTCCCAGAAGGGAGAAAGCTTCTGGAACAAACCTCTCTCATTTACCTTTCCCCCCCCCAACTTATTTCTCTTCTGTTGCAAAACAGTGCCACGTTACTCATGTTCGAGCAGCACTTCCCAAAACAAACATTCCCAGCTATGCCTCACGGATAGCTCAGCCCCCAAGTGCTGCTCTGAAACCAACATTCTTGGCTCTTCGGGGGCTGGCACTCTCTTCCCCGGTCCCTTTCCACATTTCTCCAGAAAGGGATGACAGATCTTGCCCCCGCACTGCTCCTCCTGTTAGTCATAGTTCAAGAGAAGCTGTCCCAAAAGGCAGACTGGAGCCAAGGCTGGGAGAAAGACATTTGCCTGCACATGTGCTAGAGCAATCAGGAGGCAGCGAACTATCAGCCTCAACCCTCTGAAGAGCACATTCACTGCAGACTGGTGACTTTCTAAAGACCAGGGTGTTTGTGACCATCACCTGCTCTCTTAATCTAACCCCTTCCACGTGCAAAACATCTCTACCACCGTTGGCAGAGCCCATCAAAGAGGCTACAGTAAAGGCAGAAACGTGTTTCTTCCCTCCCCGGCACAGCCACTGGTGCTCAGGCACCAAACCGCGCTCTCCAGATCTGCCAAAGCTGGAGTTGAGGTTGGCTCTGTACCTGAGAAGCACCTCGCTGGGCCAGCAGAGGCTCTAACGGCATCCTGGGGGGGACGAGGAAGGTTGGCATTTGCTACAGGCGTTGTTAGGCTGCTGCAAATCCAGACCTGCTTTTTCCATCCCCTTTGCAAGGTGCACAACCTCTCCTCCTGCCGTGCTGAGTCTGCTTCTTCTCCTGCCGCAGGACTCCCGCCCCGTTTGACAGAGCCCTGGTCAGCGACTTGTTCTCTGCGCCCGCGGCGGAGCTGGATAACCTGAGCGCTCTGGAGGTGATTTCCTACAGACCCAACTTCAACAGAGTGCCGCAAGGTTGGGTGCGCATTCTACCGGAGAGCGATGAGCTGTAGAACGCGCGCTCCCTTCCCCGTCGCCGCGGATGCTTTTCTCGCTAGACTCGAACATACTTCGCTCGCTAGGGGAGAGGGGAGTAAGTATTCTTTGTGAGAGCTGGGCTGGTGGGCTCGGGTGGCCGTCCTCTCCAACGGGATTTGAACAAGCTCAAGTTTGGGACCATTTTGAATTCCCCTCGTTCCAGCCATTGTCACAAGGGCGTTTAGTGCTAAGCTAACCAGCCAAGTTCTCATCGTTAATCCAAGCGGATACCCGCGAGCTCCCATACAAAACATCCCGTACAGCCTGTCCTCTTCCCTGCCTTGTGGAGAACGGCAGGACCGCCAGCTGCGACACACCAGGCTGTCTCGCTGTCTTCTTCACCGATGCACAAGACCTGCTCCGACAGCTGGTGCCTTTGCAGAGAAATTCCATCTTCAGGACACCTTTACGTCTGTCATTCTGGTCAGGACATTGAGAGGAGGTGATAATTGAAGAGCAGCGGCAAAACAAGTTACCGGAGGGATCAGCATGTTAAAAGCACTTACCTTGGGCTTGGCTGGACAACAGAAAAAAAGGAGGAACTGGGAATCTGCCTGTTTACCAACACAGCACAACCAGGATATATGAGAGAGGAACGCCGGGAGTTGGAAACTTGTGCCCCGTTTTCCACAAACTACCGGCTAGCACTTGGCAGCTGTTATTTTCCCCTTCCTACTGCTATTTGCATGCCTTGCTTAAACACCTAAGCCCTTTGATTGACTTACGCCAGATTTGCTTCGTGCAGTTGGTCACTAAGGATCAGGCCCTGCCTGGATCGGCCGTGCTGCGGAATTACACCGGTCTGAGGACACCGCCAGGGAATTCTGGCAACCTCAGCATCAGTGGGGAGGAAAAGTAGCGCAGCCCCGACTCCGGAGTAAGCACGGGCTGCTTCGTGAATGTGAAAATTGGCAGCGAGGATTCAACTACCCAAACCTTTTCAACAGTGACACACAGTGGGACATGCAGCCAACACCACAGGACAGTCATCAGAACATCTGGAAAACCACCCTGACAAAAATCTCTAACGTAACACAGGCTTCGTACAATCGCTTTTGTCGGGTTCTTAATTTTACCCTATTTAATCGTGCAAAAGCAGGAGCATCAGGATAAAAGTTTCTTTTTCCACCACGGTGGTTGAATCGGGCAAGTAAATTTTGTGGTAAAAATGCGGTTAATTAACAGCAGCCTCACTTGTGAAGTGCATTTGTAATTCTGTGCAGACAGAGGCACAGAGGAAATCCCACACAGGGATTCTGCTGCCGCAACATCCCATTCAGGCAGGGAACTTCCATTGCTCTGTTCTTCCCCCAGAAGCAGAGGGGGGACAAGCAAATGGAAGGAAAAAAGGTCTGTTCCTCTAAGCATTAAGAATTTCTGATGCTCAGCTGTTGCTCTGTTCCAAACCCGTCTCTTCTCTTTGCCCATCAGCTGAAGAACCCATGTACCCCCAGGGCCCTGGCTGGAAATAATAAATAAATTGCGATAACGTAAAGCCTGCTTGCATTCGAGATCTGTCTGCTCAGTGCTCACGGGCCCCGATTGCAGATCCTCCCCCATCCTCTGCCCGTCCTCCAACACCGCCCCGGGATGGCTCTGACCCGACAAACTCACCCCCTGCGCCCAAAGCCCAGCTCTTTCTCCAGAGAAAGCCAGCCAGCCCGCCTGCCTGCCGTGCCCCTGGTGCCACGCGTGCTGTGCCACCTCCAACAGCCCGGCAGGGCTGGCAGCGTCACACGCACCGTCGGGGGCGGCATCAGAGGGACCCCGTGGCATCGTACAGGTCAGCACGTAGAACCAAAAGCGAATCCGCTGTCATTGCCCACTCCACACCTTGGCTTTGGCAGCAGCCAAATAAAAATCAAAAGTCCTCAGACACTGCTCCAGGAAGCAGGGTCTAAGCAAAGTATTGAAAAATTCAAATATTTTAATGTATTTTTTAAAAAACAGGCAAACGAGGCTTCAGAACAGGTGCCAGCATGTTTTGCTTTACAGAAAGATGTCCACAGATCCATTGCATGAAAGCAGCTGACATACAGATAAAGTTAAAATCCTTCAGCCACATGTACACACATCTTACTCAACAGCAGGCTCCACGCAGGACACGGTCGCTCCCGGGCAAACACTATAGTTGGAGCACAGAAAGAGAAGTTTCACGTCTTATCAAAGCAGGACGAAGTGGGATCCCTCTCAGTTTGAAAGGAGACTGTATTCACAGGCGTCAAAAGCCCCAATCATGGTCCAAATATACCCCAAACAAGCGTGAAGCCATGCTGCATCCCCCCCCCTGCAGCTGTCAGCAACACAAGCACAGCCTCAGGGGGCCACCGAGGGGGTGTCACCGGGTTAAAACAGGCAACTGCTAACCTGGCACTCCACGTCACACTGGCACTACCCGGCGGCTGCTCGCGTGACCAAAGGCCTTGCTCAGGATGCGCAGGATTAGAAGTGAAGCATCAAAAAAAGATTTTTTGGTTGGTTTTTTTTTTAAGAATGTCAGGAAGAAGGAAGGAAGAAAATTGTGTGGCAATAGTAAGGCAAAGCCATGGGTTTGGCACATCTGCTAAGCTTGTTTTTCAGCCCTTACTCAGTCCTGGTTTAATACCTCATTAAAATAATAAGTCATTAGTTACCTGACAGAGAGAAGAGTCTGCCGTTACATTGAAATAGTCCATAGTGTTCAGACTGAGGATATCAAATGGGCTTGAAAAGGGTTCGGTTTTGTTTTTTTACAGAAGTTTATTTCCAAAGTGTGCAAACGGGATACATGGCTAGCACTGTAATTCTGGTATACCTGATCCAGAGACCCCCCACAGCCCTTCTGTCTGTCCCCCCACCGCCCCTCCCCATCCCCTCCCAACACTAAATGAAAGATCTGGGATTTATGAACGATCCGATTAGCTAGCGGAGACACGGAGCTCAGCTTGCCCAGTGTCTGCAAGCAGGGAAATAAGGCTTCTCTAGCTCACCCACAGCTCAACACATGGCGCTACCATGGTAACTAGAAAATAACTTTTAATTAAACGATGAGGATGGCACGACATGCTAGGGGCTGCTGTGCTTTCCCGCGTGGGCGCCCATCCTCTGGGGATCTTGAGACGGGTAGTGAATGGGGCCCGGCGCTCTCATGAAGGGAGGCGGGGGCCCCATGGCATGGAACATGTGCGGTCCAAAACCTGCAGAAACAAAGTTGGCAGCTTCAGACAAAGCAACCGAACAGACAATGCAGATGTTACTACCGACAGAAAACAGCTGGCTTACGGCTGTGCCTCAGAAAGGTGCACATCTCCCACAACTCCTCAACTCCCCAAACTCCTTCCCCTCTTTCCAGCACAACTGGGGGCAATCCTTACCCAGCACACATCTTTACTCCCAGATAAAATCTGGTGGGGGGACTGCACAGGTGTCCGCAATGCCAATCTAAGTGCTTTCTACTCAACTGCGGAGCAAAGCAAACACATCCACAAGAGTCTGACATCCCATAAAAAAATGGGTTTCTGGACAGATATATACACAGAGCCAAACACAGGCTGGCACTCAACCAGCTGCAGAATGGCCCTTTGAAGTTCAGGTAATGTGGCATTTACACAGCCGGCAAAAGCACCGCATAGGTCTCAGTACCAGTAACAGGGAGCTCTGACATGCCTGAGAATTTGCAAGTGAATAAATACATACCGCAACAGGCAGCTCAGTTTAATTAAACCGTGCTGACAGCTCATTTCAGATCATCTGTTTACAGCGTACGATCAGGGATGATGAAAATCAACTCAGGGCATGCATCACTGCCACAGCGCAGCCGAGGAAGGAGGACTAGACCCTCTAACACCAAGTTAGACACCCCCACTTGAAAGGGAAACACAAGTACCTGGAGGTGGTGGTGGAGCCCGCCCCTCCCCATCCCCTCCCAACACTAAATGAAAGATCTGGGATTTATGAACGATCCGATTAGCTAGCGGAGACACGGAGCTCAGCTTGCCCAGTGTCTGCAAGCAGGGAAATAAGGCTTCTCTAGCTCACCCACAGCTCAACACATGGCGCTACCATGGTAACTAGAAAATAACTTTTAATTAAACGATGAGGATGGCACGACATGCTAGGGGCTGCTGTGCTTTCCCGCGTGGGCGCCCATCCTCTGGGGATCTTGAGACGGGTAGTGAATGGGGCCCGGCGCTCTCATGAAGGGAGGCGGGGGCCCCATGGCATGGAACATGTGCGGTCCAAAACCTGCAGAAACAAAGTTGGCAGCTTCAGACAAAGCAACCGAACAGACAATGCAGATGTTACTACCGACAGAAAACAGCTGGCTTACGGCTGTGCCTCAGAAAGGTGCACATCTCCCACAACTCCTCAACTCCCCAAACTCCTTCCCCTCTTTCCAGCACAACTGGGGGCAATCCTTACCCAGCACACATCTTTACTCCCAGATAAAATCTGGTGGGGGGACTGCACAGGTGTCCGCAATGCCAATCTAAGTGCTTTCTACTCAACTGCGGAGCAAAGCAAACACATCCACAAGAGTCTGACATCCCATAAAAAAATGGGTTTCTGGACAGATATATACACAGAGCCAAACACAGGCTGGCACTCAACCAGCTGCAGAATGGCCCTTTGAAGTTCAGGTAATGTGGCATTTACACAGCCGGCAAAAGCACCGCATAGGTCTCAGTACCAGTAACAGGGAGCTCTGACATGCCTGAGAATTTGCAAGTGAATAAATACATACCGCAACAGGCAGCTCAGTTTAATTAAACCGTGCTGACAGCTCATTTCAGATCATCTGTTTACAGCGTACGATCAGGGATGATGAAAATCAACTCAGGGCATGCATCACTGCCACAGCGCAGCCGAGGAAGGAGGACTAGACCCTCTAACACCAAGTTAGACACCCCCACTTGAAAGGGAAACACAAGTACCTGGAGGTGGTGGTGGAGCAATGCCAGGAGGAGGTGGCAAGGCAATGTTAACCACGGCGGGAGGGCCACTTGGAGGTAGGTTGAAGTAATTTGCAGAAGCCTCTTCTTCTGCAGCTGGAGGAGGGGGGAGAGCTGCAGAAAAAGTACACAGTAGTTACAGAAAATCTCTCAGTCATGATATGCTGAGGTATCTGCCGTATCTGAGGTATATGCTGAAGCACAATCAGCTTCTTCCAGGAAGGCAAACTGCTGCTACTACTGCACATATGAGCCGAAACGAGAAACAGGCTGCACTGAAACTACAGAGCCATTTTTCTTCACCCAAAACCAGCTTTGCTTTTTCCATCATACAACACTCAGTGGATTAGGTAAACGTTAACCAAGCCTTGAAAAGCGTGGGTTGCCAGTATCTCAGTCCTAAGTAACTTTAATTCAGCACTAACTTTACACTCATCACATAAACTCTCTTTTCATCAAGAACGTGCTTCTAGACAAAGCTCGCCTCCCATCCTAGTAGGATCTGCTGCAAACCTGCTGTAACTGCCTGCTCTGGGCTCACCAGTGCCGCTACCATCCTGAACTCTGTTACTGCTCTCAGAGGTTTAACACCAGCCTCTCCCATGGAAGCAGGTCAGCATTAAGTGTTTCAGAGATGAGAACAAGTCCCTCACCTCCGGGAAGTCCTGGAACTGGCTCCAGCTTTATCCCGGATTCTGTAGTACCTTCCTTGTCCTTTTCTTTTCCTCTTGCTGCCTGGGACCTAAAAAAACAGGCAAATGTTTTAGGACAAGGATGAGAAAAGGCAGGATAAGGAGATATTCACATCACAATCGTTTCACATTATCTAGTCTAGAACAATTGCTTCAGGCCAAAGATGAAAAATTCAGAGAGTATCAGAGACAGCTGATACAAAGCATGTAAACAGTGTTTACGATAGCTGGATTAGAAGCAAAACTACAGAAACTCATCCATAATCGTCAACCAGGAAACCTCTTACACAATTTGTGCAATCTCCAACCCAGATCGCATTGCTGAAAGAAAAACAAACCATAACAGGACACCAAATATTTATGAACTCAGTATCTACTCCAACTTAATATCCAATCCTGCTCCTCGAGGCTGCATAAACTGGATGAAGAACCTTGTAGCAGCATCTTCAAGGCTTCTTCCCCCAGCACTCACCTTCCCCATTTGACATTCAGCCTGCGACCATTGACAATGAGTTTGTTGAAGGATTTCTCAGCAGCCACTTCCGCAGCTTGCCGGGTGGCAAACTGGATGAAAGCACACTGTTGCCTCTGCACTACAGTTATTGTCCGTATCTCCCCGAACTGGTAGAAGTGATTTCTGTGTGGGGAAAAAAATGATTATGAAACACAACGGCTCCTAGCCGCAGGGTCCATAGCAGAGTAGGATCTCATCACGTGCTGGAATAGATACGCCCAGATCCTTTCTTTTCTCCATCACCAGTTCAGACTAACAATTAGAAATCAAGTCTCTTGCCTTGCTGTGCAATTATGGAGCAATAAAAACTCTGCAGCAGCTTTTCTCAACAGCTAGCTAGAGAGAGGCTATGGGACTTCCTTGTAAAGATTGTAACACAGTATCCCCAACAGCTCAGAACGATGACTCATCTTTAAAGAGAGAAATTTTAATCAAAACATTTGAAATGTGCCTGTTTATCTGTTCTCCAACAAGCTGGCACTCCTCTGCACTTGCCCACCAACCAGTTCCCCACTAAGGAAAACTGAAAACCAGATGCATTTTTTTTTCCTTGCAAGAGAAATTTCCTCACTTCAAGATAAGCAGTAATCAAAGCATCAAATAAAAAGGCAAAGGCAATACAAATTCACCAACACACCTGAGATCTGATTCAGTGATAGTATCTCCAAGCCCTCCAACATACAGTGTAGTAATAGTCTTGTCATCAGGGGGATCTAGACGGGGCATGGTTGATGCTCGCTTCAGAAGTTTATCAGCCACAGGATCGTTAATTCCATAGTAACGATCTTTGATGTTCTGATCAGCCAGCGGATCATCTGGATCTGTAGGTTTCTCGTGTCTAAGGTTCAACAAACAAAGCATTTCATACCAACAGTCACAGCTGCATCAAATGAAAACAACTATAACTGCTACCTTCCCTTCTAAAGGCCCCTGGTTGCCTAGATGTTTAACCCTGTTCATATAAACAAGCCAAAATGGAAAAAGACCAGAGAACTTAAATTGCATCCAGGACTGCTTCAAGTTCTGAATGAATGGCACTTGTGACAGTTCAGCATTCAGCACTACAGAACACAAGAGCTGGATTTCAAATGGCCTCTTGTTCAAATACAAAGATCTCTGATTGAGGGGACTGACGCCACTCAGGGAAAAAATGAACTATGCAAGAGAAGAGCTGCCGTCACCGCTTCAGCAAAACACTACAAGACCATGCAGCTAACTCCTCACAAACGAACTTGCCACAACACAGATTTATTCACTGATGCTGCGTGCCAACTGACTGCAAGCTTTGCACTGACCCCAATCACAGTGGTGTTTGCCCGCTGCAGCATTTCCCGTTCTCTGAACCCCAAGGGAGCTGTATCTGACCGCAGTGAACAGATCAACTGTTTAAGCTGTATCTGTACCTGTAGGGACACTCTTCTCCTCTCTTGCATTCTCCTTTTACCCAGAAGGAACAGATGTGAGGACGGTTACGTTTATAATAAGGAGTGGTCCGAGCCAGCTTCAGCAGCATGTCACTGGTAGAAGTAGCTTTTCCTAGTGCACCAACTGGTCTGGTGCCATCAGAATTGGATATCTAAACGGTAATAAAAAGGAAAGGGATGAGATTTTTACCATTACTGAAAATGAATGTATAGATTCAGAGCAAGCAAAGGATTTTAAAATGAGCTGCATCATTCCTTTACATTAAAGTAACTTTGGCCCCTTTGCCCCCCTACACACATCCACACACGCAGAACATGATTGTCACTACACCTTCTTACCTCCCGTTCCATGTTCTGGGTGTAGTACTCTTTATTGACATCAGACTTCGGCATTTCATCCTTAAGGGAGAGTCCTGCATCCCGGACTTGAATAGGCAAACCTAGAATGAAACAAACCCCAACAAATCCATATGAAGCACAAGCTGAAAGAACAGAAATTGTTATTGCAATGTGCATTAGCCAGAGGTAACTCATCTAGTGCTCACATATACCACACTGCCCCTGAACCTCAGAAGAGACGTGAACATCAAGACTTGTTCTTCTGTCCAGAGACAACCGTGCCAATTACATGCCCACATTTAAAGACATTTCACCAACTTCTATTTCAGAGGGAAGTTGACCAGCTGCTCCTCTTAGTTTACATCTTTTGGTACGCACCATATTCCAGGTCAAGCAGACAGGTTTGACAGACGTTCTTCAGCTTGCTGCATGTCTGACATACTTCTGTTTTCTTGAAACGCATACGAACACCAGGACACCAGCGAAATACTGTGAAAGGCCTGGCACAAATCTGAAAGACAGAAAGTCAACATTTGTATCACTATCACACAGCAATGAAGTTACCGTTCTGGTTCTTGCACAGAAACGTAAAAACCAAACACATCTAACCTCTTTAAATTGTAAATACAACTTCTTCCCCTTAGTGCTAAGATTCAGACCTCATCAGAAATACTTGTTTCTATTTGGTGCCTTACTTTGACGGGAAAAGTTTTAAATTTTTTTCTTGATTTTTTTTTTTATTTAGTACAATAACCCAAATGCTGAAAGCAGATCTACTCAAAGAAAAAAGAAATTCTCCTTCATTCCAGGAGATGTTGGTATAGACCTATTAGAGATAAATTACCAATTATTTGTGAATCAGTCATCAGCATAGCAGCAAGCCCAGTGAGAGGTTATGAGACTTTTGGTCCAGAAGACAACTGGTCTCTATCTTACCCGGTGGAATGATGCATCTGCTTCTGTTGCATGTATGGTTTTAGAAAGGGAAGCAAGATTTCAGCACATACCTTCTCCCTACCTCAGATGACAACTGATAAAAGGGGCAAAAAACCTCTTGAATTTCTCTCAGTCAAGACAACACTAAATATTTCTTGCTTCCTCAGAAATAAATGTGGTTTATTTCTTAGACAGCGAACACAAATCACCACCTAGCCACGAATAACATATTCACAGCAAAACCTAAACTCCAGTTTTTTATGCACCACTTATAAGTAAAAACAAACTTGCAAGAGAAAGTATGAGATTATTTAAAATGCTGAAATACCTTCTAATATAGTACAATATTAGTAAAACCCAATTCTGATAAACATGAGTAAATCCTAAGTCTGTCTGAACAGTCTTCAATAATTTTACTACTTTAAGACTGACTTTGTCTAACAAAGCACACAGTAGACTGACCTAAAAATTTACACAGTTATATAAACATTTTAAATTGTTAACCCAGATAAGCAATTTTCTGAAACCAACAAGATTTTTTTAACATTGAAATTTAACATTCCTAAACATGAGCCACTTTAGATGTTTGTTCTTCAAAAGAAAACACACATACCTTGCATTCTTTTCCATATTTTTCCTTGGTCTGAAATATAATCAAAATAATAAATGAAAATATGAAATATCATCAATTCAACATAAACCATGAAAAATGTAATTGATGTTATAGCGCAGTGTTTTTTTCCTAATTATGCTGCATTTAGACTCACCCACCCCTATGCTTTGGGCTTACACCTTGGTAGGTCAACAGGACCCAAAAAAAAAAAAAATCCTAAAACACTCTCAATCCATTTTTGTTTTAGAAACAAACATTCATTAAAACACAGTATTATAAACTCCGCCTCATGTACTGATGAAAGACAAGAATGAAATGGAACATTAATAGCTATTTTTAAGCAAAGATGATGTTACATGAAATAATTCTATGAAAATAACCAGGGTTTGAATAGCCCCTATACCGGCGGTAGGGTTACGTTTCACAAAAATATCATAATCTCTCCCAACAAACTTGGTGGAATAGAAACGTGAAGGAAAGACAATGTAAATGCAGATCACACACAACTGGACTGAGCACAGAGAAAAGCAATGTTAGGGGACTGACTCATACTGTGCAGAGGAAACCAAGGTAAACAAGTAAGCATTTAAATTACCATCAGCAGACTTCATAAGACAGTTTTAACTTATTTTTACAGGTGCGTATCCCACACATTTTAGAAATTATGCTAAGCTATTTAATATTTCATCAGCTCACTGTTCTCCGCGTCCCACCAGTACCAAAGCACTCTTTTCTAGTATTTTCTGCACTTTAGACACGGGACTATATCATCTTGCTCTCCTTTTTGACTGATTTATTCTTAAATCACATACCTAATGCTATGACAACACATACCAACAATGTCTGGAACCAAATCCTGTAGTGCAGAACCAACTAATTAGGAGTGCACGTGCACCTCAGCATCTCCTCCTGTAGCCAGGCTTATTTTAGTCCCCAAAACGCAGAAGTTCTAGGGTGAACAAAGAGTAAAGGACTGTATGGTCAAACAGGCACATACCATTCGAATATATGGGTTTTCTCCAAGACATGTCTGGCACAGAATAGGGAAATCCTGAATTGAGCAAGAAGAAAGAAAATCAGGAATTTGCAACAAATTCTATCATCACAACAGCATTCAAATCATTCACTGTCATAATGCAACTGAGTTAAACTAATCAGACTATTTGAAAGACGTAAAGAGACTCACTCAAAAAGAGTCACTGGGATTGCTACAAGCCACGACACAAGTCCCACATTATGAAAAAACCACGACCTGCTATTCCAATTTGAAATAAAACTTAAAACAAACAAACAAAAGGCATATTCTTGAGATCTTAAGCTATTCAGCGACCTGACTGCGGCAGATGACATACATACACATCCCTCCCCCAAACCCCCTCAGCATCTATTGTTTGCACTGTGCCCACCTGGGAAAGGCCTCCGCTCCACAGAACGCGGCCACGGGCGCACGGCGGGCCC